CAGGCCAAGGGATTATTTCCCATGAGTGTATTTCTCTAGCTGCTTGCCGTGGGCACTCATACTGTACCTCCTGCCATGGCTGGGATATACTGGGGTCTGCAAAAGGAAGACATCATCTCTCAGGGGATGACCTCCTCTATCTCTGTACTTGGCTGTGACCCCAGCCCGTCCTATGAGGTTCAGGGCCTGTGTTTACTGTGAGACACCTCAGCCATCTCTACCTCCAGGGATTAGCTTCAGCTACCTTCCCCACTCCCATTTCTCCCCTGATTAGGGCCCCGACTGTGGTCATTTTGTGACTTGACTTAGGAGATTGAATCAGAAGAGCAGAGAAAGTGAAGTTGGCCATTCTTGCCCCTCTCTTACCTCAACATGTTCTGATTAACAACCAAACTACATTCAGTTGTCTGGATTCTTCTCACAGCAGACAGACAGAGGAGGTCCAAGAATTGGCTGAGATGGCCACAACTTCTCCCCTTCCCCTAGCTATGACTCCAGCCACCCCAAGGTTAGGACCACCACATTCACCTCCAGCCCAGTCAATGCTGAAGTTGGGGCCACCATCTTTTGTTTCCCTTCAGATTTGGCTGTTAACCCCCTGACAAATCTATGGGTTGAAAGAGGAAGAGAAGATTTGGTTATGAGTGGTTCTCAAACATCTCCATGCATCAGAATCACGGGGAGGGCTTCTTATAAACATAGTTGCGGCCCCACCCCAAGTTTCTCTTTCAATAGACAGAGCTGACTTCCCAGGAAGTGATACCGTACTCAGAAGAAGCCCGTGTTTAGTTTCATAAATCTGCTGTTACAATCTTGAAATTCATTTTTTAGCATGCGGCCCCACATGCCCATCTCTCACTGGGCTCCACAAATGGTGTGGCCATTTTTGTCTGTAGGTCCAGAATAGAGCTTGAAAGTTTACATTTCCAATCTTTTCCCAAGTGATGCAGATGCCGGGCCTGGAGAGTACACTTTCCCCAAGGAAAGGTTGTGCTTGGAGAGTACAACCACTCCATGGGATTTTGTTGAGTTCCAAAGACTAGAGGAAAGGGGCAATGGCCCTCTACCACCCACTTTCTCCCCTCTACTTGATCAGATCCAATCAGAGCTGAGAAAAAGAAGGAACAAATAGTGTGGCCACTTTAGTTTTTTGTTATTATCGTTGTCCTTGTTTTATTTTGTTTGTTTTCTCCAAACTAAATGTTCTCATAGGGCATCCTGCCTTTTCAGCCCCCACTCCAAACAATTCATGTAGGTATGACATCCCTGTCTGTACATCAGTCCAAAAACAAGTTTTTGAGGCAGCTTGAAAAAATATATATAAAGTGGAACAGTATCATGGTAAGTGATTTTGAGAGACTAGGGGAAAGAAAATGATGGGAAGAGTGATAAGATGAGGTGAAGATAGGACCAAAACACACAAAGACACCTCCCAAACTTGGACACACCAACTCAAGAGGAGTCTCAATTTTTCTGAGTCTTTTAGCAGTCATTGGAGACAGAAGTATATTATTTATTACGTGACTCATGGCTCCATAGGGTAAAAATAACCTACTTGTTTATGAGAAACCCAAATGTCTCTACTACTAAGACTTAGGAGAAATTTCTTCCATGGCTATCTTTCTTTATGCACATAACTCCAGGCTGCATCTGCAGCTTGTAACATTTTGTTGAGTGTATGCTCTTCTATATGTGTTGTAACAGAGCTCAGCAAGACATGAGACAGAATTTGGGGGGTCTTCATGAGGTAAAATATAACATTTTCAGAAATTTTTCCCCCACTATGAAGGGGCAAAACTCCCCATAAAATAAATGTTCATAGTCTTGATATTTTTGGTTGTTTTGGCTTATGAATCGACTTGACTATCTTTGACAAATCCCATAAAATAAGGCCTTATGTACTCACTTTTATTGATATAAGATCATGACTTGTTCTTGCTGAATAGACCTAAGACAATTTTATTAATGACTGGAAAAATTGTCAACTGAACAAGAAAAACAAATGAAATTAGCCAAGTAATACAATTTCTAGCCCTGTTCAGAACATGGAACCCTGATTTTGAGCTGAGCTGAGCTCCCTGTTAGCTACCAGTTCAACACATTTGATTTTTCTCATTTTCATAATAAACTTTCCTTACCTGGAGTCATACCCCATGACAATAGACAAGTGTCCATTTGCTTGCTTTTGTGTGCTCCCTCTGCTAGAAGGAGAGACTCTCCCCACCCCCTGTAGTTAGATATGGTGATTAAATTGTTTTCTCCCACTTTCCAACAGAAATACTAAGTTCCTTTTATTTTTCCTTCACATTTATTGGTGCCCTAAAGGTCTGGAAAATCATCCTCATGGCAGTCCTCTGACTCCTTCCTCAAAGATTATCTGATATCAGTTCAAAGAGGAGGCAAGGAAGGGATTTATTTATTCCATGTGAGTAGGAAATGTACTGGGCAAAAGTGCTAAAGCCCTGGCTGCCCCACTGGTGGGCGTGTTATCACAGATGCTGGGAAGTGTTTTGCCCCTGGACACTAACCCCCCCCCCAAACCTGAGACAAGCTTGATCCCCTGTGGGCGAGGTACCTCCATTTTGCATGCGCAAAACCATTTAGTTAGGAAAGGATTGCTCAGGCGTGTGTTTACCTACTTTAAGACCACAAAGGATTTGTTTTGAAAAATTAAACCAACAGAGAGCCAAGACTAGTAAAAATAAGTGATTGGGGGGAAAAAAAAAACCAGAAGCAGGTTCTGGAACTTTTAATCAATGTGTGATTGTTTCCCTTCAAGATGTTGTCAGGGCCACTGTTTTGAGGAAGGTAGAAAATAAAGATGTTTCCAGGTAAGAATTGCCACACTCTTCATGTTCCTGAAGTTCTCATTTTCCTGTTCCACTTACATTCTCACTGTTATTTCTGTTGCTGTGACAACTCACACATATAGAATCAGTTTGTAAAAACATGAGTGCCTTGCAGAGTCACCTTAGATGTATTTACCTACAATGGACCCTAGTGCTGGTCATCTGTATATCTTTTTCAGCCACCATTTTATACATGAAATATTTATCCCCACCAGTAGCATCATAATCTTCATGGCAAGGATGAATTTACTACACTAAGTAATTTGGTGGGGGGGGGGAGTGACCATAAAGCCATGAAGACCTTCAAGTTTTATCTGAATTATTTTTAATTCAGGATATTGGTGAAGGTGAAAGATATCTACAAGTTTTTCCTTACTTAATAGATGGTGAGATCGAACTTTAATTTAAAAGTGGACCCAGAAGTTAGTCTCTGAGGCACTTCGGCAACCAACGCATATTAGCGATAACAGGGACCCATCTGGGCTTAGCGCGCTCCCCTCCTTCCCGGCTCACGTTTCTTGTTTCATCTGTTGGGTTTTTCTGCCCTCTGCTGGTCATTACGTGGAAATGCGTTCACATCGTGGTTGTAGATGTCTTGGAACATTGTTCAAAAGGTCTTTTTGTTTCAGCGCTTGTGTCCATGCATTCTCCTCCTGTCATAAGTTATTTAACGGTCATATCGTTTGAATCTGGCCACTGATTGTCAGCTCACTTACACACCTGTAATTGTCTTCTTGTGCCAGAAGCCCTGACATGCTGCCGTCGGAAGTTTCTTTTTCCGTGGGAGGGAGGCACTCATCCACCGATTCCAACAAGGCCTCCAGCGGAGACATCTCCCCTTATGACAACAACTCCCCCGTGCTTTCCGAGCGCTCCCTGCTGGCTATGCAAGAGGACGTGGCGCCGGGGGGCTCAGAGAAACTTTACAAAGTGCCAGGGCAGTATATGCTAGTGGGCCACTTGCCGTCATCAAAGTCAAGGGAAAGTTCTCCTGGACCAAGGCGCGGGAAAGGTAACTAGAACCTGGCTGGCTGACTCTGGGCAAATAAATGACTGTACTGTTGTTGCATGTGGCATTGTGTGGGGACATTTCAGACATTCTCTTCAAGTCTCCCTTGGTTGATGTTCTTATAATTTATATAATTTCAATGACCATCTGTCCAGGAAATGGTGAGTCCAGTGGTAAGGAAAGGGTTCCTGCAGCCCTATCCTCAGACATCTGGTAGCAAGCACCTTCCCAGAGGAGCCACTTGTACTCCCAGCTGACTCCTTTTCCCTCCAGCAGCCAAGGAAATTTCTATGTCCTGGCTGGGGGATTTGAGTTGCATATCTACTAGTCTAAGATGTCATCTGGTTACTGCTGTCACTTTTCCAAAGAAAAGCTGAGGCTACTCTGTAGCAAGACAGTATGCTAGACCCAAGTAGTGTTAGCATCCGATGACAAGAGTGCTCAGCTTAGAGTCTGCTGCCACTTTCAGCCAGGATCTTGAGCAAATGATTGAGCTTTTCAGACTCTCATTTTCTCCTTCTATGAAAACACAGAAGATAACAGTCTTAAATTCAATGGGTTTAATTAGCTAATCCATGTAAAAGCCCTTAATGTAGCATTTATCTTGTGAGAAGCACTCAATAAGATTTGCCGTGTCATTGTGTGTACATTTCTTACCTGCTCCCTGTAACTAGCTTCCTCATCTGTAACATGAAATCCTGGGAATCTCCTAGGGATGGGATGAGATAATGCATGTGAACTGCTAAACACATGGAGGCACACAGTAGACATTTGTTTCTGTGAATCACAATTATCATCCCATCACAGTACTGTAGTGAGGATTAAATGACATGATGAATAAAGCCTAATGTCATACAGTGCCTCCCCCATAAATACTTACAGATAGCTAAGGGATTTATGAATGAATATGCTCATGAAGAAATGCACTGATGCCAGGAGCAGAGTACTCCTGAGGGTGGTGCAGGAGCTGTCACTGTTGCTCCTCTGTCTGTACAGTAATGTGGTTAGTGCCTTTAAGGCTGTTACCACCTATCACCCTTGTATTGGTTTCCTACAAACCTGGACTTAAGACAGCACACAAATTTGTTATCTTGCTGTTCAGGAGATCACAAGTCTAAAATGGATACATAGGGCCGCCTTCCCTTTCAAAAGTCCAAGGGCATGATCCATTTCCTTGCGTTTTCTGGCTTCTAGAGGCTGCTGCATTCCTTGGCTTGTGGCCCCTTCCTCCATCTACAAAGCCAGCAATATAGCAGCATCTTTTTTCCTGTCTCTGTCATACAAGGACCTTGTGATGATATCGGGCCACTCAGATAATTGAGGAAAATATCCCCATCACAAGAACCATAACTTAAGCATATCTGCAAGGTCTCCTTTGAATATAATAGCTTTATGGAGCCTAGGATTATGACACAGATTATTGGGGAGTTTATTCTGTCTACCACAATCATGATAGAGAAAGAGATTTTTTGTAAATCCCAAATAGAATAAACCTCCTGAAAGGCAGGCCTAATTGTATTGCATTTGTATCTAAGACTATCTCCAATTCAGTTCTTTGCAAAGAAGAGATGTTATAAAATATTTGTTTATTGATTTCTGTTCTTAAATTTTTGTTTTGTGTTATATAACTTTTTATACAATTTTCTAGATATGTCAGAGGAGCCTTTCAATATCTGGGGAACTTGGCATTCAACATTAAAAAGTGGATCCAAAGACCCAGGAATGACAGGTAAAGTATTATCTTGAAACTTAATTAAATTTACTTTTAAAATTAATTTTCTTTACTTGTTGCTTTACTGTCCTAATATTACTTGCTTGTCAGATATAATTTGGGAAATGCTGAAAATATAAAAAGGATAAAACTCTCATTAGGCTTTCCACCCAAATATGCTATCCTTTGACTATATTTCATTCCATTTCCTTTGCAAAAGTTTTCCAATATTATGATCATTCTGTCTGTGCAACTTTATATTTTAACTTGCATTTTCCAGTTATTTTCCATTTTCCTTTTTAAGGGCAAAGGAATATTTGATAGAGTGCATATTCAGAGTTTATGACCTAATACTTGGGCAACTAAATTGTTCTCATTTTTTTTTGATTGCTGTTGTTATAATAAGTTATGCTGTTAGGAGTCTCTTTTAGTTACTTTTTTAAAAAGTTTTAAGTTAGTAATAGAGTCACAGAATTTTAAAAATCAAGTCAAAGGTTATAAATCCCAAAGAAGAAAGTGGATCAAATATTATGAACCTTTCAAAGAATTGGGAGGTGGTCACCTTGGATGCTATGGGCTATGGGCTAACCTGACTGATGTTCTGCAAGCTGCAGATAGCAGGGTATCTCTTGCTGCTGTCTGCAAACCTCATCAGCATGGCAAACTAGTGGGTTTTCATTTTCATTAGCTTAAAAAAGAAAATTGCATTTATCATTTAATTTGCAATTCCTTCTCACCAATATTTTTCAGTTTTTCTGCTAAGTAGCCAAGTGCCCCCCCCCATTGAATTGCCATTTGTGTCATTTGCTGTTTATGTATGCTAGTGTTTTTTAAACTGAGTCTTGCAAACTCTTTATAAAGATGTTAACACTCTATCCATGTTATCTGCCACTGATATTATCCCTTGCATAGTTTTCTCTTTTTCCTGCTTTGGAGATCTGGAAGATTTTATTTTACTTTTTGACGTAATTAATGTTCTTGCTTTCTCCTTTGTGTGAATTCTTTCACAAAAATTAATATTTAGTTAAGCATGGTCAATCATCTGTGTGCTTTTCTTTTACATGTTATTTCACGGTTTTAACATTGAATTATTTAATCCATCTAGAATATGTGTTGGTATATGAGATTATGTGTAAGTTATTGGTTTAATTCAAATATATATATGTACATACATATATGCACGCACACATATATACACAATCCTCTTTCCATTTTCCCATTGTTTTATAATATCTCCCATATTATCTATTAAAGTACTATTTATTTTTAAATTGAATGGCCTCTGCCCAGCTGACTTTAGTCTGATTCACTATCTATCTATATCTTGTAGCCTGTGAAGAGCTTTACAGCCTTGTCCTCCGAGGAGAAACTCTTCCAAGATGCTTGCTCCATTTTCTTTCTCCTATTTCAGCTATCACCTGTTTCTCCTGTCATCTGTGTCTGTGTAAACGCTACATCCCTCCCTTCCCTGCCCCCAACATGGCCTTATTCTTTCCCTGTATACTTTTTAAGAAGTGGAAGGTAGTTAGGCAGGGCAGATCCATAGGGAAATGGCAGTCTGGGGACAGATGCCTCAAGGACTACTCATTTGCCTTGCAAAATGTACCATTTTTTCTCTCCTTTCAGTTTTGTAAAGAAAGTTGTATCTGTCAGGAACAGTTAACTGCTATAACCAACTCCAAATTCTCAGTGGTTCAAACTATTACAGGTATATTTCATCCTCACATGCCAGGCCAGTGTGGATTATGTGAGGTGGAGAGGGTGGAGGTAGGGGAGCGAGTGCTCTGTTCCACATAGTCATGCAAGGGTGGGTCCAGGTTCCACTTCGACAGTGGCTCCACCGTCTTCAGAGGCCTTGGAGTCTTCCATGGTTTTTCCTCGCTGGGCTGGCAGTTAAGGGGAGAGAGCCCAGAACAGTAGGAAAACATTTGGTTGGATCTTTTATTAGACCAGGCGTAGAAATGGCTCATACTACTTCTGACCACACGTATTGGCTGCACCTTGTTTCTGTGGCCCTCCTAACTTCAAGGGAGGCTGGGAAAAGCCATCCAAGAAGGAAAGGGGAATGGCTGGGTAAACAACAAGCCAGTCTTTCCCACAGTGGTGAAGGGGGAATATTCACACCGGCGTCTGTATTCCTCAGCATCTGGCGTGGAATGGGGATCCAATTTGCTTATTCCCACAGCTTCCATTGATGTGACAGAAACATGAATACCATTATATTTTGCACCTCCCCTGGGCCACAAATTGAACAAGAAGGGAACGTTTCTTTCACCTCTGAGTTCCGTAAAGTGTTCACCTCCATGTGAAGGGGACCTTTTCCCCAAATATAAATTGGTGGCAAGGCGATTTAATCTAGTTTGACAGCTCAGCTAACCTGTCAGAGTCTAGGCATATGTGTCTGGAACCGCCGCACGAATTGCAAATTACCAAAAAGCATTTATCATTTCTTTTGCTGGAAAGGTCTTTTCTTTAGGCAGCAGCCTCTATTTAGTAAGAGTGTACTGTGCTTTTTCCGTTTTAGAAGACAGCAGTGGGGAGGATTCTAATCCCCGACAGGGGTTCTCCAAACTCACTGCAGTTCTCACCTCCTCTCTGGCTTCCAGGTTCCCATGGAGACATTTTTGAAAGCAGCTCCCTACGACCGGGGCCCTGCTCCCTTTCTCAAGGGAACCTGTCCCCAAATTGGCCTCGGTGGCAGGGGAGCCCCGCAGAGCTGGACAGAGGCACTCAGGTCGCAGGGAGGACTCAGCCCGCGGCTCCTCCAGCCCCCGGTTCGCGCTCCTGTAGCACGTCCCCCCTGCGGGGCCCTGGCGGGGGCGCGGAGCCGCACTTGACCCTGAGCAGCGCCCAAGACCTCACCGAGAGCGAGCCGGACGCCCCCTGGCCGCAGGGCCGGGCCCCTCCTCCGTGCCAGAGACCCCGGGGCGGCGGCAGTGGGAAGGGCGACAAGAGGCCCCCTCCTCCCTACCCGGGCCCGGGGAAGCCCGCCGCCGCCGCCAGGTCGCCGCGGCAGCCCCGAGCAGGCGCAGGCCAGGCCGAGGACCCGGGGAGCCAGACGGCTGAGTGGGGGCCGCGGAAAAAACTGGGCAGCGCCCACTCTCCGACCTCTGGCGAGCAGGATGGGCGGAAGCTGGGGGAGGCCGGCTGGCTGGACTGGCAGAGAGAGCGCTGGCAGATCTGGGAGCTGCTGTCCGCCGACAATCCCGACGCCCTGCCCGAAACGCTGGTCTGAGCCCCCTTCGCGCCCTCCTTGCACTTGCCAGAAGCAACACCGAGATACTCGGTTCACTAGCAGACTAGAGCGCTCACACCCTCGCCACTGGGATCGGGTTCTTTTGCGTAGCCAGCCTTGGGAAACACCAAGAACACCCCCCCAAACGGATGGCCATGTCCAATCCAAAAACCACCCTCTTGGCTCTATGTAAGATCAAGCCCTTTCTTTGGTATAGCTTACTTGTATTTATGTGTCTCTGTTTTGACTATTGTATATTCTGTAACAGATCATGTATGATAATCATTTAGGGTTATTCACAGAGAGAAAACAAAAGGAACAATTTTTTTTTAAAAAAACACTTCACTATTTTAAGCAATGAGAAATACTAAGCAGTGAGATTCTATAGAATGTTCTAGAATATGCACAAGCGGGTTTCTGTGCTTTTGCCATAGCTTGTTTCCTGGGGACAGCCCTTCCTTCAATGCCTAAGGAAAACACTAACAAGACAAAACTAAACAGAACGTGAGAAGCCATAGTTTTATATAAGTAGTGAGATACGAAAAAAATATATAGTCACTGAATGCTTTTTCATATGGAATAAAAGTTGAGGGAGATATTAGATTTGATACATTATGAAATATATTTTTAGAACCTGTTTAAAAAGGATTCAGTTAATCAAAGAAGAAAAAGGCCGTGCCTAACAAAGATGATTAAGAAGTTGTCCCATTTTAGGTCAAATTCAATTTTATATAGACCACATATAATATGTATTTATAATGTATAATTTTTATGTATTTTTCAAAACTACAAACTGGAATCCAAACTATAATGTGTTAAAGAATCTATAGAAGAACATGATATTTTTCCCTTTGCCCCATAACCAGTATTAGCCAATTACATGAAATTCTTTATAAATTCAGTCATATTTGGAAAAAATCTGCAGCTTTGTACTTACATCGTGCCAAAGGCTGAGGAAATGGTCTTTTTGGTAATTTTGTGTGTGTGTTGTAAAATGTTCCTTCTGTACTTTTGAAGTTTTTCAACTGCAAAATCATTTTTGACCAGCAGGTGGCGATGTGATTCAGTATTTTATGAGGTTTTTTCACTTTAGAAGGGAAAGTCTTCTATAAAAGAAAACTTTTTTTTTTATAAAACATACTACTCTTAATTTTAATGTTGGTGATGAAGTTTCCAGTGGTGTTTCTTAAAGTTCTATCTTGTGCCATGATGAATAAAAAGTTAAGCAAAGGTTTGTTCCCTGGCTTTAAATCTCCTAAAAGAACTCATACCCTGTTCCAGACACAGACTTCACTATCCAACAGTCTTAAGTGCAATACATAATGTGGATTCTATGCATATAAATACATAGCTAAAGAGATAGTTTAAAAAAATCAGCTGGTTTGAGGACATCAACTCGGCGCCACCAAAGCATTTACAGATTTACTATAAAAATTACTTGTTACAAGTAAAGGCTGATTTCCTCAGTTGTTGATGAGGAAGTGGTTTTCTACAGGACTGAAAGTCAGGGTTCCTACTCTTTGGACAGGTGTTGTCCAACACAATCCCTGTGAGTTATATCCGCTCTAGAGGCTGCCTAATTTGCTTCATGGCTAAAACAGTAAAATCTAAAAGTAGCAGGTAACATTTCTTATTTCAGGCTATTTGAAATAGCTTCAGGTTCTGTGATTGGGTCCAGCACTTCTGCTACTGGCTGGGACCCGGGAAGGATTTACCTGTGAACCTCTAGTCCTTCCTGGCTGTCTGAACTCAGCCAAAAGTGGCAAGCAAGATCCAGAACAAACACTACTTGATTGTGGATCATAGGTGGCTTTTCTATGCCACCTACTCTCATTCTATTCCTGCTGATCCTGTGTTTTCTTGCCTTTGAATTTGACTGTGATCTGACCAGTTCCTTCCCTCATGAACTGGACTGTTTGAAATACAGGACCGCCTTCCCACCATATTCTTGCTGTAATAGTCTATTTTTTTAAACTTCCAGATTAAATGGCCCTGAGGTTGATGTCTGTGTCAAAAAAGGTAACAAAAAGTATGTCCAGCTATTAAAAGATCCCAAATAGGCAGTCCATGAAATAGGGCACAGAACATCTTTATATGATGTATATATCTTCATTCTCTCTGTTTCTACATTTAAGCCCAATAGCCATGTCTTCAGCTTAGTGAGTGAAAGCTTATTTCTTAGATGTCATTATTATATATTGAAAATGAGAAGATTTTAAAACATACATGTGAGACCCAAAGACCCAAGTGGAAATTGAAGTCCTTTCTAATACCTTATAAATGATATAATAATACCTGACAATGAAGAAAAAAAAAAACTCAAACTCTTCCAAATTGGACAAAACTCCTTTAACAAGGTCCAGCACAGTGGATCAGGCCTGTAATCCCAGCTCTTTGGGAAGCTAATGCAGGAGTATCACTTAAGGCCAGGAGTTCAAGACCAGCCTGAGAAACATAGCAAGATCCCATCTCTACCAAAAATTTAAAAAATTAGCCAGGCATGGTGGCATACACCTGTAGTCCCAGCTGCTCTGGAGGCTGAGGCAGAAGAATCTTGCTTGAGCCCAGGATGTTGAGGTTGCTGTGATGACACTACTGCACTCTACCACGGATGACAGAGCAAGACCCTGTTTCAAGAAAAAAAATTAAAACTCCTGTAACTGCCTATTCAAGTCACTCATTCTCCAAAAGCAGATATCCTACAAACAAGAAAAAAGCTCCCTTGTCTATGACTATTTGACACTGACATTGACATTGAGACAGTATGAATCATTTTTTTTTTTCTTTTTGTCTCTGGCAAAGGAGCCAGAATGGTGTTGGCAGAAATGACTAAATATGAATTTGCCTTGATATATCTAAGTAGCTATTAACATATGTTTGTTGTAGGTTTTTAAAGAAGAAAAAAATCTCTTGTACCAATGGAGTTTGTGCAAATTTAGGAAATTTCTAAATAAATCCAGCTTGCTTCTTTTCTTATGCACATTTTAATACACATCTGTTTGGCAGAGAAACAGCACTAGGATTAAATATAAAGAGATGCCAGAACAAAGTCCAGGCCTGTGGGGTATGTCATTCTGATAAGCAAACTGCAGGAGGTAGATTATGCCTAACTGAGAGAAAGGAAATGGCTGAAGAAGAGTCACACAGAGATTAAAACAGGACAACATCTCAACTGGGCAGAATTTTAAAACAGGACTAAATCAGCAGCAAATGTTCTTCAAGTGAAAAAATACAAACCAAAGGAAAATTCCTACAAAGGTTAGAATTCTTCAGCACAGTCAAGGCAACAGATGGTGGTGTGCAGACGGTGCTCCCTGGGGTGCAGACGTCTCATCCAGCCTGACCTTGCCTTCAATTCACCAAAGTGCAGGCAGCACCAGCTCCAACGGAGAGCCCTCAAGAGGTTGCAGAAAGGTCAGAAGATTCTCTAAGTTCAGCTCAGCCAACATTTTCTCATCCTAGGGTGACCAACTCATCCCAGTTTACCCAGGAAGGTACCAGGTTTAATAGTAAAAACCCAATATCCTGGGCACAGGCCATGCTATGAGCTGGCAGGGTGAGGAAAGGTGGCATGGGGATCCAGGACACTCAACCTTGGCACCTCTCAAGTAGGGTGGCCAGATAAGATATAAGACACCCAGTTCACTTTGAATGTCAGATAAATAAGTGACCATGAGTTAGTATCAGTATGTCCCAAGCAATATCTGGGACTTATTTACACTGTCCCAGATATTGTATGGGATGTACTTATATTAAAGGGGAATTTTTTTATTTATCTGACATTCAAGTTGAACTGGGCATCTAGTTGCCAAATCTGGCAACCCTAATCTCCAGCCTTGATATCCAACCCAGTCCCCAATGGCCTGCTTGACCTTCTCACTGAATGTCCCACAATGCCTCAACTCCCCTGAAGGGACAGCTGCCCTTCCATTGCTACACTGAGCCACCTTCTCACCAGCACCACACCATCTTCGAGGCCTCCTCTCCCTTCTCACCAGCTGCCTTGCCTGAGATGCCAATCTTGTCACCCCCCTGGCACACATGTTTCCTGTCTGTCTACCCCCACTATCTTGGTCTGGGCAATCAACTCCACCCTCTTGAATGGCTGCAGCAACCTCCCCTCACTGACCCCCCACTTCACCTCCATGCTGCCACCACTCACACTTCCCAAATGCACCTCTTGTCAGAGGTACACCACTATTGAGAAACCACTGATGCCCTCCTCCCCCCAGTCTACAGGACAAAGTCCACATGCCATGATGACACCGACATACTCCACCATCTAGTCTTATTTGCCTTCCACCTCTCATCTCATCTCCCCCCAACGGGTGTGGGGTTTGGAGACTCTGGCCACAACAGAATATCCCCATCCCTACATACAGGACACACTTTCATATTTCTGTTCCAAGGGCCCCAATTGCTTGTTCCTGCTTTTCCTATTTAATGGATGCTATTTTTCTTGCAAAATTAGCTCAGACTTACCCTTCCTTCTCACAAACATGATGGATCATAGCTTTGGCCACTGGCTGTGTTAAGAAGCATTGATGTACATTTATAGCAACTGTCTTATGTTTTTATCTGGAGGTTATTCTGTCTTTGAAGGTGGGAAGCAGTATCTCTCCTCTCCACTCCTGACTTTTCCTTCTTTCCTTCAGTAGGCAGAGCCCTGACACATAGTTGGCATTTGATAAATGCTGGCTGAACATATGCACGTCCATGTAGTGAAGCAACTTACCATGCAGTGGAGGAAAATACCAGTCCATTGACCTCTTAATGAATGCAGTGATAGCAGTATATTTTCCAAATTAGAAGGTTTTTGAAAGGAGGAGATGGTATGAGAAGGTAGTGGGTGAGCACAGAGCCACAGTCTCTGAACCAGCACTCCTCTGTGAAAATGCATCACCCCATCTCTGTGCTATATGGAACAGAGAAGACAGGTGGCTTGTGATGCGTTATCTTTTAATTCTTAAGATTAAAACTTGTCTAGTAAACGTGTTAAAGAAATGT